CATAAAGGAGGCTTGAGGAAAATTTTAAGATGTTAGTGCTTCACGTCAAAAGAACATGGAAAGGCTACCGGCCCCTGACAGGGGAACTTGCAAAAGGTGAGCCAGAGACTTAGACATAAATAACCCAAGCCAGCATTTTAAACCCCTGAATTCTTTTGTCTTCTGTCACAAGGGAGATATGGCAAGGAGGATGAGTAGGGAGGTTTCTTAAGGCTTGAGAGAATTCAAAGTTTTCTAAGATGCTTGAATCCTTCATGATGGCTCCATTTTAACAACATAGATTCAGATCTTTCTTAAGACTTCAGTTTCATTTAAGAGACATGACAAGTTGGGATTCAGTAAAAAATCATAGCTCAACAACTAACTGGACCCACTGTGGCTTTCATGGTTAGAGAGTAAGATGATTCCCAACATAATCACAAAAAGGCCTTGATTTTAACTCTTTGCTTAAGGCCACAATTTCAAGTGGCCTTTTAATGATCTAATTTCATTATAAACAAGCATCACACATGCTTTTTGGACTAGGATTCCTCATCGCCTTTCGTTGTTGCTAAGAGCTACCTAGTCATTAATGTGCCATGGGCTTATAATCCTCCCCTATCAAAGAGAGCCTTTCTGAGGTGCCTGGGTGGCTCAGTTGGTTAAGTGTCTGACTCCTGATTTCCACTCAGCCCATGATCTTGCTGTTCGTGGGATCAAGCCCTGTGTCTGGCTCTGCCCTGACAGAAGGGAGCCTGCTTGGGCTTCTCTTGCTCTCCCTTCTCTCTGCCCCTCGCCTGCTCTCTCTCTCTCTCTCTCTCTCAAAAATAATCATTAAAAAAATTAATAACAGCCTTTCCTAGGGTTGAATGCATCACTGTATTTATAGCAACATTATTTACTGTAGTCAAATTATGGAAGCAGCCTGTGTCCACTGATAGATGAATGGGTAAAGAACATGTATACACACACACACACACACACACACACACAATGGAATATTAGCCATCAAAAGGAATGGAATCTTGCCATGTGCAATGACACAGATGGAACTAGACAGTTTATGCTAAGTGAAATAAGTCAGAGAAAGACAAATGCCACAATTTCACTCATGTGAGGAATTTAAGAAACAAAACAAATGAGCAAAAGGAAAAAAGACAAACCAAGAAATACTCTTAAACCAATGGTTACCACCAAGGAGGTGGCTGGCAGGATGGGTGAAATAGATAAAAGGGATTAAGAGCACGGTTCTCTTGATGAGAACTGAGCAATGGATAGAACTGTTGAGTACCTATATTGTACATCTGCAACTACTATAACACTGTATATTATCTACACTGGAGTTAAAATAAAATTGAAAAAAGAATAGCCATTCCTAATACAAAACAAAAGTTTCTCATCTTTTGATCTATCTCAGCAATCCTTAATATTCTGCTTCCCTATTGTTTGATAATCATTTTCTCTTTTTTTTTAAGTTCATTTATTTTTGAGAGTGAGCACATAAGGGAGGGGCAGAGAGAAAAGGAGACAGAGGATCCAAAACAGGCTCCATGCTGACAACAGAGAGCCCGATGAGGGGCTCAAACTCACAAACTGTAAGATCATGAGCTAAGCCAAAGTCAGACACTTAACTGACTGAGCCACCCAGGCGCCCCTGATAATCATTTTCTAGTATCAGTTGCCACATGGGCTAGCTTTGGGAACAAAAAAAGCAGATTTTAACTTAAAATTAGAATATATTTTTTTAAGTAGGCTTCGTGCCCAGTGTATAGGCCAACACAAGGCCCAAACTCACAACCCTCAGATCAAGACCTGAGCTGAGATCAAGAGTCAGACGCCCAACCCACTGAGCCACCCCAGGCGCCCCAGAAGTTAAATATTGGAAGAATACCAAGTACTTCACAGATTTAAAAACCTGGACAGGAATGGTTTTAGTGGATCAGACTGGCATGTAGGGGTGCAGAAATCTTCAGGCTGCTGTCAAAGAATGGCTCACTTCCAACGATGGTACTTCCTTCCGCTGGTACAAGGGCCCCAGCCCATCACAATGGACACCGACTATGCAAGGCTGAACATTGGCCCTGCTCCTGTCCGTGTCTCCAAACCACAAATGGGAAATCTGATTGGCTTAATTGCAGCCACGTGTGACTGGCAGTTCACCAGAGCACCACAGAATGAAGAAAGGGAATGTGCCAACAAAGAGCTAGAAGTGGGTGTGCGAAAGACAAAAAACAGATTTTGGGCACCTGGGTGGATCAGTTGGTTAAGCCTTTGACTTTGGCTCAGGTCATGATCTCATGGTTCATGCGTTCAAGCCCCACATTGGACTCTGTGCTGACAGCTCAGAGCCTGGAGCCTGCTTCGGATTCTGTGTCTTCCTCTCTCTCCGCCCCTCCCCTGCTCATGCTGTCTCTCTCTCTCTCAAAAATGAATACACATTAAAAAAATACTTTATAATACAAAAAAAGACAAAAAAGGTTTCAACATTTATACTGAAAAAACATGTATACACACACACACACACACACACACACACACACACACGCAAACATATATATATCCAATATTAATTTTGACTCTATGGCTACAAGATGAGTTTACATATTAGGTTTTGCAAGTCACATGTTTCTTTTAATATATCGTGGACGGACAACTCTCCATAGAGGCATACATAGAATTTAATCTCTTTCTTCTAACCAGACAATACAGTATTGGATAATCACAATTTAATGAACCTGCTTGGCAGGATGCTGAAATCCAATTTATCATAATTACAATTCTGCAATCAACATTATTTACATCTATTTATTCCAACGGCACAACACTCCTAGATCCAGAGTTACTGTTGCAAAAGGAATGCACATTTATAATGTTGGTAGGTCATACTATATTGCCATCCTGAAAGACAGGAGACCGATTGACACTGCTGATGATCAAGTATCTGTTTGCCCACACTGATGCCAATAGTGGATATTATCCAAATGTTAGACTGAAATCCATCGGAAAGCCAAGAAATTTTGTTTTAACTTGTAATTTTCTGATGAGTGAGACTAAGAACTTTACAGATTGTCTTTACTCATTTGAACTCTGCAACTGACATGCCTGTTGGGAATGCACTTTTTTCCCCACTGCTTTGTATGTGCAATAGCTCTTTGTTCCTAAATGACTTGTCACATAACTTGTATTAGTCTGTCAATTGTCTTTCACATCTTTTGGGGGCCTTTCACCATTCTGAAGTTTTAGATCTTTGTATAAGCCAACTTACTCTCTTGCCCATGTCTTCTAGGACCCGAGTTAGGAAAGATTTCCTCTTTTTTAGGTTGTTTCTTGCATATCACTTCCTAATTAGAAATGTTAACAACAATTTAAGTGTGTGTGTTTTTTTTTTTTTCACAGAATGGATAACCAATTGTCAAAACATAATTTCCCCCATAATGAAAAACCAGTCTTAGTTTATACCAAAATCTGAAATGCTAAGAAACCTATTTTTAAAATGTCCTGCTTATGCTTGCCACATTAGCTTTCCTTGTGCTGTTTCAACTAGAACTGTCAAAGTAAACATATCCTACGGGGACTCTGTTGTGAATGACAATTTACAAACACTTTAACAGTACTGAGTATTTCATCTAGAAAAACAGATTTCTCCTCTACCGACATATTCTCATATTTCAGTAATTCCTTTTTATGTCTATTCATAAGTTGCCTTGTAGTTTGTCTGGTTTTTGAAGTGAGAGTTGCATTATGCTCATAGAAATGATTAGAACTTTTTGTATATTCTCCGTGCTACAGCAGGGTTTGGCAGACTTTTTCTGTAAAAGGAAAGAGAGTAAATATTTGAGCTTTGCCTCAATACCGACTCAACTCTGCCATTATGGAGTGAAAGCAGCCACAGGAAATACGTGAACAAGTGAGTGTGAATGTACGGCAATAAAACTTTATTTACAGACACTGACATTTAAATTTAATGTAAATTTTCACGTTGTCACAAAATCTTCTATTCACTTGTTCAACCATTTAAAATTTTAGACCATGGGCCATACAAAACCAGTCAGTGAGACTTTGACCATGAGTCACAGTTTGCTGAGACCTGCTTTAGATCAGTTTAGCTTACCAGTTGACAGTTCCTTAAAAGTTTAATGAGTTTATAGGGGCACCTGGGAGCTTAGTCGGTGAAGTGTCCGACTTCGGCTCAGGTCATGATCTCGCGGTTTGTGGATTCGAGCCCCGCGTCGGTCTCTGGCTGAAAGCTCAGAGCCTGGAGCCTGCTTCGGATTCTGTGTCTCCCTCTCTCTCTCTACCCCTCCCCCACTCATATTCTGTCTCTCTCTCTCAAGAATAAGTAAACATTAAAAAAAAAAGTTTGAGTTCATTTGTGAGCTCAGGTGATTTTAAATAGATCAGATCTTTCCAAATTTTCTAAGTCTTGAGTACCATGTCAACAGTTTTAACTTTGTGCGTATAAATCTTGCATTTTTTTTTTATTGTTTCAGCTCTTTTGTTCCAAACGGACCACTCATCCATGTTCTCTACACTAAGACTGTTCTCAGATGGATAGTAAAGCTGAATTTCCTCACCAATAAAGTCGCATCACCTCACATTTATGCAGATGAGCTGGAAAGCCACAGTTCTAACTCAACATTATGGAACCGAGTTTTAAACCACTGCTGGCCAAACCTCACTGACTACCTGTAAGCTACCTCGATGGGTGTCTCCTGGCCTCCTTCTATGCACTGTTTTATTCAGAGCTGACCCTGATGACTCTTCAATGTTCCCAAACAATGTTTTTTCAACACCTGGGATGAACCAGGCACCGTGCTAAGCACATCTTACAGATTAACCAGTTTAAAGGATCCCAACGCAAGTTTTTATATGAGGAGTGATCTGTATTTACACTTTTAAAAAAATCAGGCTGACTGCAACGTGGAGAACAAACTCATAAAGGAAACAACAAAACCACACTGAACAGACAGAGGGGCCCGTGTTTGAACTACTGGAACAGTCCAGCTGAAATAACACTGAGACTAGGGGGACGACAGTGACGGCGGACCCCAGAGGAACCTGGGGAGAAGATCCACAGGACTCGATGTGGAAGGGAAAGACGGGCGTGCTGTTGCCTCCCCATTATGAGTTCTTGGGTGAGCAAGGTGTGCGCTCTGCCTGAAGACTTTCCTGCTCTTCTTGTAGTTGTAGGATCTCTCTCCAGTGTGGACTCTTTTATGTTGATTAAGGTGTCCGATTTGGATGAAGGTTTTCCTACATTCTTTGCATTCATATGGTTTCTTTCCAGAGTGAATTCTCTGATGTACACTAAGGGACTGGCGATGGCTAAAGGCTTTGCCACATGCACTGCATTCGTAAGGTTTTTCTCCTGTATGACTTCTGCGATGACAAATAAGGGATGACTTTGTCTTGAATGCCTTCCCACATTCAATACATTCATAAGGTCTTTGGCCAGTGTGAAGCCTCTGATGTTGAGTACAGGATGAGTTATCACCAAAGGCCTTCCCACATTCGACACATTTGTAGGGTTTCTCTCCAGTATGAACTCTCTGGTGTTGAATGAGGTGTGTGGTTTGGCTGAAGGCTTTACCACATTCCTTACATTCATATGGTTTCTCTCCCGTATGAGTTTTCTGATGCTGTGCAAGGTGAGCCTTCTGGGTGAATGCTTTACTACAAACCTTACATTCATAGGGCTTCTCTCCAGTATGAATTCTCTGGTGAGTAGCCAGCTGTGAACTGATGCTGAAGGATTTACCACATTCCCCACATTCGAAGGGCTTCTCCCCAGTATGGATCCTCAAATGACTAGCAAGGTGTATATTCTGCCTAAAAGCTTTCCCACACTCTTTACATTTAAAAGGCTTTTCTCCAGAATGTACTCTTTGATGTTGAGTGAGTGATGCATGATGGCTGAAGGCTTTTCTGCAAACATCACATTCATATGGTTTTTCTCCAGTATGAATCCTTTGATGCACAGTAAGGGATGAGCCATACCTAAAGGATTTGTCACATACATCACATTTGTAGGGTTTCTCTCCAGTATGAATTCTCCTATGTTGATTAAGTCCTATGTGATCACTGAAGGCTTTCCCACAATCGATGCAATCAAAGGGTTTCTCCCCAGTGTGGTAATATCTCCAATGACGTATAAGGGATGTGTTCTGTATGAAGGCTTTCCCACATTCAATACATTCATAAGGCTTCTTGCCAGTGTGACATCTCTGATGTCTAGCAAAGGATGAGCCGTCACTGAAGGCCTTTCCACATTCGTTACATTTATAGGGTTTCTCTCCAGTATGAATTCTCTGATGAACAGTAAGGGATGAGCTCTGGGTAAAAGTTTTCTTACATTCATTACATTTGAAAAGTTTTTTTCCTGCATAAATTCCTGTATGTCTTATTACCACTGAATTTTTGGGAAAATTTTTCTTAACTGAATCATGATTATGAACTCTCTCTTCTGAAATGTCCAAATGAAACCATCTTCCAGATTTGTTAAAAGTATGTTCTCTTTCCTTCGAGAGCATCTTGTTATGAGTGATTGTCTCTTGCCTGAATTGTGTCTCCTGACCTACCAGCTTCCTTTCAAACACACCCTCAGAATCCCAATTTTCTCTGAAAGTGGAACACTCCAAATTAGTGTTTGAAGTTCTGTCTGTTACTTCAGCAAATGAATCCTGCTTTAGAAATAATTCCTGGGTCTCATGTATAGATTGTTGACCTGAAAGATATCAAGAAATAAATATCTCCTTTATTGTGTGCTAGAAAAAAAAAGGAATTTGTTAAAAGGGAATTGTGAATGAATTGAGTGGTTGGTGAATTAAACCCTAATTAAACCACATAAACTAGGTGCCTCTAACATGTAAACATGGGGTCTACAAAGTATGTAACTAAGCCCCAGGAGCCTAGGAGGGGCGAGTAGAAAAGAATTAAGTGTTTGTGGAATCAGTTACATATTAGGGGAAAGGAACTAGGAAAACGTTCTGCAATCACACCACCTAAAAATTCTCTGGCATTCATTGCCTTTACTCTCTCTCCTGCCCTGTCCATCCTACTTCAATGTCAGAGCAGTCATCACATCACAAAAGCTATTCCAAGAAGCAAACCCAAAGCACAAAAAGGAGAACTTATTCTTCAACATTTACCACGATTATCTGAAGGGTTATTCCCCTACAACCAGAAAATGGTGTTTCTGCTAACTGCATCTTCTTTGATTAATTTTAACAAAACCTACATTACCAACTGACAGCAGAAGCTCAGTGGACATAGAATACCATTTTTACACCTACCTGCATGCTTTCACAGGCCTGACACTTCTCTGGCCATATATCAATGCACAGGACCTTGCAATTTAAGTTCTCAGTTTGAAGCAACTGTTTTTACAAAAACAATGAGCGCTACCATTATATTTCATCACACCACATACACAACTGAACAATCATATGTCTTACCTCGGACTCTAACGCTTACGTGGAGGAGTGTATATGCCTGAAGTCTTTTTGCTAAAATCACTTAGCATGCACCCAAAATTTGTGCACGTATAGTTATATCTCAATAAATACATGTAGACGAAAGTGGTATTGCAGAGATGATGCAGAGAGTCAAATGTCTGGGAAAAAAATGATCTTAAAAAAGGGAAAATAAACTCTTTTTAAATGACATCTAAACACTAAAAGTTTTCCTTCTTAGATTGGTAACAAGACAAGGATGCCTGCTTTTCCAACTTCTACTCAACACGGTACTGGAAGTTCTAGCCAGAGCAATTAGAAATAGAAAAGGCATCCTAGCTAGAAAGGAAGAAGTAAAACTGTATGTGTAAATGGTGTGATCCCATATATACAAAACCCTAAAGAATCCATGAGAAAAGTATTAGAGCTAATAAATCAATTCATCAAAATTATAAGATACAAGATCAACACAGAAAAATCAATTGTACTTCTATACACTAGAAATGAACAACCTGAAAAGGAAATTATGAAAGCGATTCCATGAAAGATAGCTTAAAAGAATGACTTATTTAGGAATAAATTTACCCAAGGAAGTACAAAACTGTATGCTGGCAACTATAAAACATTGCTGAATGAAATCAAGAGGACATAAATGGGAAGACATCCTGTGTTCATGGATAGGAAGAGCGAGAAAGAAAGAAGTAACTCAAAGAAGACCAAATTTGTGATGTGGTACAAATGGATGATACACATATTAATAAAAAGAAAAAACTATCAGGAAAACAAAAGGTCAACATAAAGACTTCTATGAAAGCTTCTGTGAATAAAGATACCACCGGACTTAAACTACTGCATAGTGAGAAGAAACCGCATGTGCGAACTAACAGGCTACACAAAAGTGGGAACAAAATGTATCACGTTTTTGAGACAGTGTTTATATTCATACTATATAAAGGCAAGAAAATTTGACCCAACAGAAATGTAGGAGATGGGTATAAAGACACCATTAACAGAATATGAACTCCAAATGGACTTAAATTTTTTTTTAACGTTTATTAATTATTGAAAGACAGAGAGAGACAGAGCACAAGCAGGGGAGGGGCAGAGAGGAGGAGACAAAGACTCCGAAGCAAGCTCTGGCTCCGAGCTGTCAGCACAGAGCCCGACACAGGGCTCGAACTCATGAACCGTGTTATCATGACCTGAGCCAAAGTCGGTCGCTTCACCAACTGAGCCACCCAGGCACCCCTGAACTCTAAATGGATTTAAACTGCCTATTTCTCAACATTACAAGTACTTGGGGAAATGCAAATTAAATGAAACCTCCATTTTCACCCAAGAGTTTCGCAAAAAGTAAAAAAATACAAAGTACTTGCGACTGGTGAAGATGCCTAAAAACAGGTATTCTTATGTACTGTTCCAATGGTATAGCATTATATCCATGAAACTTTTTTTAAAGAAAATGTATACTTTGATCATGTACAAACTGGACCACAGCTTATTATAGGTAAAAACAGGAAAAGACCTAAATGTTCAAATATCCTTAACAGTAAACCAGTTAAGTAAATCATGGTATATCTACTTATTGTTATACTAGGCATCCATCAAAACAATGATGTAGGGGCACCTGGGTGGCTCAGT